AACTCCAGCAGGAAGATTTGTGTGTATTACACTGTGCTAGTAGCAGATTAGCAAAAAGAAGGCAATACACCTGAAAATCTCTGTATTATTAAATATTTTGCATCTTGGTTAGTTGTTGTTATTCCCATAGCAAAAACAGCTCATTCTGTCTTTTTCATTCAAGAAGGATTTTTTTTATGCAAAAGCTTCTTACAAAATTATATGTTTGGGATATGAAACTTCTCACTTTTTCCCAGACTAAGATGGGAAAATATCCTTCCCAGAAAAAACAAAACAAAACAAAAGTGCTTTGACAAGCTGCAAGTATCTGAAATAAACATGTTTTAATAGATCATAATTTTTTATATCAGCAGACCCAAAAGATGCTTGCAACAATCAGGATGAAATAACAGTGTAATGTAACAAGTTTATAACAGCAGATTTTTTTTGTTTTTTAAATCTCCACAAGTTGCTTGTTTTGGCATCTTAGAAAGGCCTTATGGCACACATATCCTAGCTGCTGCTGCTTTTTTTCAGAATATTAAATTTCTTTCGTAGGATGCATGAGCTGCTGGTGTGAGGGGAAAGGTGAGCAGGTCTGATTGGGTTCTGTCCATGTCACTTGGTCTCTTTAGTTCTGGTCAGTTTTGGATGTTACCTTGTTTTATCAGTGCCAGACATCTCTGTTTTTCAGTTTGATTGAAATTAATCCACGTGGTCCTTCATATACCAAATACCACAACACCAAATAGTGCTAGAGTCCAGGGACAGCGAAAAGCCCAAAATGCTCAAAACCTTGCTTGTTAACTTCTCCCAAAGCTAAGCACTGCTCTGAGCAGAGTTTGGCTCTGTTGCTTTGCTGGGAGAGACAAGAATGTGTAGTTTGTGATCTGATACCTCATAAGGAAGCAGCACAGGAGTTCATTAAATATCCCAGCCTCTAATGTGTTGAATGGGCACCGAGGCTGCTCATTCCCTGCCATCTGTTCCGTGAGGAGTTCAGAGCACTACGGAGTTCTTCTTTCAGCCTGACAGATCCAAAGACACTTTTATCTGGGAAAAAAGTGCCCTCAAGGGGGAAATGGTAGGAGATAAACCTTCTGCTGAGACCGTGCTTGCTGGCATTGTGGCCATCATTCAGGAGCACTGAAGAGAAGTGGGATTAGAGCAAAAACTGCTGATGTGTGTTTGAATGAGATCTATGCAAGACTGTTGCTCAAGTAGTTCCCTAAATCTGCATCTATTCCAGGTGCATGCCATGATTGGTCTCCACAGGGGGTAGGGATGAGCCAAAGGGAAGCAGATCACAGAGTCTGCTTTTGGCATCCCTGCATTTTGGTTGCACAGCCATACATGAGCATGACCTTAGGCTGCCATATGGATGGGGCATCCTTGTGAGGTAGACTTTTCACAGCCTGGGTGGGCAAATGGAGCACCAGGAAAGAATGCCAGCGCAGGAAGCCAAGGGCTTGCTCAGCCCAGAGTATCTACAGGGGTGGCTGCTTCCATCATAAAGCCTTGGTCTGAGAGGATAAACACTGGGCAAGCAAAGCATTGCTGAAGCTGCCTGGGAGATAGAATGGGTTCCTTGTGTCCATTCCACCATTTCCAGTGAAGGGCTGTGGGAGCAGTAGAACAGTGTTGCCTCTGCACCCATCCAGCTGCTTGCTTGACCGCAGTGCACACCCCTGGGGTTCAGTTGCCTGTGCCCCAGCCTAGCCCAGCTGTGGTGCAGCTGTGTGACCTTGGATCTGACTGCTGGGAAGGAGCTGGGAAAAGCCTCACTGGGAGACTCTCCTCTTCCCTTTGGAGCCACCCTTAAGGCCCTCAGCGTTGATGTTTGCATGAGCTACAAAGCAGCTGTGCTTGTGTCTGGCCATGCACTTCACTGATCCACATCAGGGTCCTGCCTCATTTCTCCAAATTTTCCTGGCCATCACTGATCAGATGGCTGCTCCTGCTTACTGGCACTCAGGTCCTGTGACACTTTGGCATTCAGGTGCTGCAGGGCTGCACCCTGGTTGGTGAGACACCACCCTGCCCATCCTGTTGGTTCCTAGATTATCTTCCCATGGGAAGCATCATTCAACTCCCAGCCATAGCTGCCTGCTCCATCACACCAGTCAATTGTAGGCATTCAGGAGAGGAAAGAGCTAAGCCATGGCTATTTATCACTAGTTTAATTCAGATGAATTTAGGGACCTGCTTCTGATGCTTGGTAACCAGAAGAGAATCGCTGTGCATTCATTGAGGGTGGGAAAGGCTTGTGCATTTGTTTTTGCTGTCTGGAAAATATTGTCCCCTGTAATCTCCAGAGATGTGTCTTGCTTATCTTCACATGACAGAGAAACTGGAAAGTTCATCACTTCCTAGAAAGACTATCATACAACCTAAAAAATTCTTAGCATTAGGAAATGCTAAGAAAGAAAGCAAGCATCTTCTGGGAGGAATAACTTTTAATCAGAAGCCTGTGAATTGAGCCACTGACCAAATAGCAGATTCTGTGCTTAGCTGGGAAATATTTTTTGCCTTTGAAAGCCATGGACCACTGGAAGTGGGACCCACAAAAATCCCAGAGAAACCAACCAACCAGCCAACCAACCAAACAACCAACATGTTCCAGGGACCAGCTTTCCCAGAGCCAAAAGCACAAGGACCACCAAAAGCCAAAGTAACCAGAACATCTGAGTTGTCATATCTGTATATTCCCATCCAATGGAAAACTCCCATGGTTCCTGAGCAGCTTGGAGATCCCCATGGATCTACCTGTAGCCTCACAACTTGTTGCAATTACAGTGAAGCTGCCAGGCAAGATTCCATTTATGTCTACAGAGACAGTTTGCTGTTTATAGAGAAGTATCTTCATGCAGTTCATGGCGACCTGATCTCCAATTAATTTTTTCTGTGGTTTGATCTGTATAAAAGGTCACTATAATATAAAAAGATAAAGTTCCATGTGTATGGAAAATCATGCTATGAAAAGCTGGCGTCCATAAAGGAGACAGAAGAGTCCTGCAACTTTATTTGAATAAAGGGAGAGAGTCCACTGGAGCACACACCTGCATGGTTTTCTCTCGAGTTTTGGAGGGTGCAGCCTCCTTTTATCCCAAACTTTCAGCTGCATGTAGCCCTCTTCCTTTCCCCACTGGCTGAGGTACTAGGAAGGTACAGCCTTTCCAAACTGCCTGCTACGTACCCACCTCTGAACCCATCCTTTTACCCAAAGTTCAGAAACTCAGGCTTGTGTGGTCCCATTGGTCTGCTTCAGGAGTCAAACTGTCCGGTTCTGTAACAAACCTGTGGCTTGAAGTTGGTAGACACATTAGGACCCATTTCAAAGACGCTAATCTTCACCCATGGAATTGTTTGTTAAGACATTACCACACCTTTCCTTTCACATGCAACCACTTGTTTTCTTTTTTCAATGACCATCCCAACCTGACATGGTTGTCTTCTAATATCCTTCCCCTTTTAAGGCTATAGATTTATTACCTCCTACTGGCACAGTATTTTTTAAGCAGTATTGCTGTGAGAATCAGAGAGAAAGATGTATTTTAAAGGCAGTGCAGTGCCTGCCTGGAAGCCCCTTTCCCCATCCCAATCCAAGTGTGGGAGGGTATGTTTCTTTAAGGCTGGTTATGTGTTCATGTAACAAGGCAAGTGCATACGTGAAACGAGCTTCTGCTGAAGCTTTAAGTCTGCAGGGAATTTTCTAATGATCGTTTTTAGTTAATAGGCACAAGTTGTTAGCCTGAGCTGGGAAAGCCTTTTTTTGTGTGAGCCAATTCCACCCCCTCTTTTTTTTTTTTTTTTTTTTTTTTTTTGTCATGGATTTAGTTCCCACAGCTAATGCACCTAATAATGAGACTGGGCAAGCGAATGCCAGCGTAATGATATGGAGCTTGTTTGGCCCTGACAAAGAACACAGAGCGGCTGGATGGTCTAAACGACAGTCCAAGGGCTCTTATTCATCCCAAAGGATCTCTCTCCTTGCGTGCCACCGAATCCCACAGAAGGCAAGGCCGCACCTCAGGGCGGGCGAGGTGTCCGGCAGGCGCCACAATGCCCCCCACAGTGCCCCCTGAGCCCCCGGCGCAGGGCCTGTCACTAAATGGGGCGTGAAACAGAAACAGTCAAGGGTTAAGCCCTTGGCTGAATCTTTTAATTGCTGTTTCCTAACACACATACGCACCAGCCAGTTAGAGAGAGGGAAAACATCCTTTAAAACTTACCAGACAGGTTACAAGGACCTCGCTCGGCCCCAGCTCCCCCAGCTCCGGTGGACAGCAGGGGGTGGTGGTCTGTCTTTTTAACCGGCATTTTCCCCTCAGCGGTTTTCCTCTGCCCTTCCCCTCCTCTTGCAAGCTAAGTTAATAAACACCTAGCAGCTTACTCCGTGGCGTCTGTGTGCAAACAGCTCCCACTGAGCCAGTGAAAACTGTCCCTGCAGGAATTCCATTAGAGCCTTTTCCACCTTGGCCCCCCAGAGCACTGCACAAAGGAAGGTGGTGTTCCTGCATTCAGTCCATGGGACGGAGCAGGTCAGCCCAGATCCCTTCCCATCGTTCGTGTCCCGCCAGTTCAGTCACTCTGACTCTCCATTTCTGTGGCTGGGCTCCGGTTTTCCACTTGTCACAGCTCACCAAATCCTCCTCAAGTCAGGGAACTCCGAGAGAGAGAGGAGCAGGTTAAAATCGCTGTGGGCATGAGAGACATTGGGGTGGGACAGGGCTGCCAGCAGATGGAAGCTCAGTGGTGTCCTAGAAGACCCCACTAGGACTCCTCTTTAACAGGGATCAAACCAGAGGAAATTATGAGCTAAGCCTTAGGGCTGCCTTAGGTTAAAAAGATCTCTTTTTAAGTAGCTCTATGGATAAGTAATTTGAAAGAAACCATTTACTTTATTGTATTTTACCTCTTACAGAATTTCTGCCAGCAACTGATCAGATTCTTACTACTCTACAAAAATATTCAGCACTGAAGAGAATTATTCATAATTTACATAATATTGCATTATTTTAAACAGATTTCTCTCTCTTCTTGAGGAAAACATTTGTTTTGGTGTAGCTGAGTCTGTGACGTATTCCTTGTTCTGAGCTGGATGACCATGAACTCCAGAATCCATATGTGGAAATACTGACCCATCCAAGGCTGAAATAGTGTGTACCGGTGTATAGACCGGTTGTTGGTGATAAATAAACTGAATGCTCACAGAAAGCTGACATGAGGGGGACATTTGTATGACTGGAGCAAATTCCTGTATGGATTTTAATGAACTCTCATGGAGAAATGATTGCAGAACCAGTTAGTTCTAAAGTGTCTGATTGACATGTTTGTATGTACAATGACATATTGGCAGGATATGCCATAAAACTGCCTTGCACACTCTTTATGATCTTGTTATCAGGCACAGGGGAGATGCCATTACACAGATACATCTTCTTTGCTTTCCTCTAAGGGAAATTACTAATCCAGCTTTGCCTGTGGTTATGACAGGCAGGGAGATGGCACATGAGGTTATGGATTCTGCTGTACTGCTACGGGCTCTAGAAGGAAACTCTTAAGCAGGAATAGTCTGGGTTTGAGGTAGCATTGAGGTGTAGCATTATTATTTTTTTAATCAGAGCCTTTTACTGTACACTATAAAAAACTCCATTAGCATTTTCTTTTCAGATGCTCTGCTGCACCACAGCTGCTGTGACTCTGCAGTCAGGAAAGCAGAACTGGTGTGACTGCAATTCAGGAAAAAAGCTGAAAAGAGAGAAGAAAAAAAAAATAAGGCATTCTAAGACAGCTTGAAGAAAGCATGCCAATTAAATTTTTAAAGAGAGACAGAGGGTAGGAAGAAAAAAATAAAAAAGAGCTAAAAATCTGGAGGAACCTGAGGAAATTTGGGGAGGGGAGAGGGGAAGGAGCACAAGAGAACCATAGAAATGAGAAATGAGATGAAGGATGAAGTGAGGAAAGTTAAGGGATTGTACAGCAGCAGCACACAGATTGAAGCTAATTACTGAGGGAGAAGGAAAGGAGAATCGGAAGAGGACATATGATGAAACATGGAAAGAAGTCCTTGCAAGAAAAGAAGTGAATCCACACAGGAACAAGAGAGAAAGCAAAAAGGAGTGTGACCAGGAAAAGAAACCTTTCTTAGAGTACTGCTGGGTGGCTGAGCAGGAAGGCAGGGAACAAGTGAGACAGGACTTGTACACAAACACATTTTCCCATTGTTCCCTCCAGCAAGCATTTGAATTTCACTGCGAGCAGTGGCTTTGCACTTGGTGGGGAACCTCCAGTGTCACATCCCACTGGTGGAGGTAGAAACAGCCATTCACCAGCTTGGGTGCATTGAGGAACCCTCTGGCAACCCATCATGGAACATCCAAGGAAAAGTGTCTCTAGGTGGAACGGGGTCAGCCTGCAAGCCTTGGATGCTCCCTGCAGTTTCTCATTGCAGTGCTGTATGTTCAACATGGATGTGACACCCTCCAATGCCTCAGAGAGTAATTCCTACTCTCTCCTACAGAGAGTGACACCATTTAAAGCCCAGGATTCAAGTTGTATTTCCTACAAAGGATACTTCAGAGGCTCCCTCACATTTCCCACCCAGCTCAGTTTAATCACATCCTGGGATAAGAGAAAGGGGAGCAACTTCTGTGCTCCCCGTGCCTCTCTCAGGAGTCTCCTCTGTGTCACAGCTGCTCGGGAAACCTCTCTTCTGGACACAGAAAAAAGTCTTAGGAACAGATTGAAGGTATTTGGGCACCTAAAGGCACAGCCAAACACCCACAGAATTTTTCAGAAACGCCTCGGCTGCCTCGGTGCTTTCCTAGTGCCTCTTTTCATCCTAAGGTGCCTACATGCCTTTGAAAAGTTGGCCTTTAGCCCCTTATCCTTATAGAAGTATTTCCCCTGGAATAAATGACAGGCAATTAGTTTAAGAATGAGGCACTCCCTTTTAAATCCAGTACAAATAGTGAGAGTAGATAAATCACCACAAGACCAGTGACTCCAGATAGATATTTTGCCAAAGTAAATCATAAGAATATATTTTTTAAGCTGCCTATGTTAATGCATGGATAAAATGTTTAAATCCTGTTACAGAAGTTTTTTTAAATATAGTTCTCACTTAGCAACTGTTTTCCAAAATAAAGGTACTAATGTCAGAATTAAGGTGTGTTGAAAAAGGGCTTTTCTGACAGCTGATGATGCCTCCTGAGATGCAGATGTGAATGAACAACTAGATCTTAAAAATACTAAAAATCTTACAATATTTTAAAAACCAAACACAAAATCCATCAACTGGCTAGGGGCAAAGAAGAAAATTCCTTTTATAAATACAATGGTGCAGAGTTCATTTTAAAGTGCTTGACCAACCACTATCAAAGATATCAAATCAGAGAGATAAAATGTGATAAACCCCAGGGGGATGTCTATTAATGCTCTTTGACTAAGATTCTCAGTGACCACCAGTTACAGAAAAAACCCAGCTAATTCAGGCATCCTGGGATGAATAACTGCTGGAGAGGAATGAAATCCATTAACAAATGAGGACAAGAAGAAGGAAGTTCAAAAGAGCAGCAGTGAACTCCTTTTCAAAATGTATCATCAGGACAATAAGCCGGAGTTCTCTGAGAAGGAACGAGTATCCTGTGAATATAAACTGTTGGTAAATGGCAGGAAAGAGACCTCTTGGCATTTGTGAACATGCAAGAAACATCTGGTGCTGACCACAGACATGCCAAATCTCAGCTGCCACACGGAGCATAGTGACACCCTGCACTTCAGATGGCAAGTAGCCAGGGGACATTTCAAAATCAGAGGATGAGAGGTTGCAGGAAATGTCTCTGAATTTTAGTCTGTCATGTGCTTATCCAGCAAAATAATAAAAATCAATCAATCAAATCTTCAGTGTTGCTGAGAATTGAATGGTTTTGACTAGACACAAAACCCACTGAAATCCAGTGAAATTTATTTACCTTGTAATTTTAATCTCTTTGGCTCTTAAAAAAAACAACCCTGATGCTGATTTGCATCTTCTGAGGTACCAGCTCCATTTCTAGGTGTTCTAAAAAATAGCAAAATGCTCAGTGTGGGAAGAGCCTAATGGGTTGATTTGGGTTTGGTTGCATTTCAAGAGTGCCCAAGGGGGCAGAGGAGGAAAACTGATGCTGTGGTATGAGTTGTGAATGTCTCCATGCTAGGAGAAGAAAGGATAAATAATTGAGAAGAGAGGGAAATAGTCAAAAGAGGTAGTGCTGTTGAAAACAGATAGGAAATAAAATAACTTCGTTTAAAAACATGTTTTCTTCAATCAAGCCTTTTCCACGGTTTTTAATTATATCACAGCACACCATACAGATGATCACAATAACATCTTCTGGCCTTGTATCATGACCACAAGACTTTTAGCCCTGTTGCTGGGAATGGCATCCTCAGGCAGCAATCCCTGACAACCAGACCTCCCAGACCCACACACTGAAAGGTCTTGTGAAGGAGCAGAAAACTGGGAGGTCTCCCAGAAGACACCTGCTTTGAGGAGAATACCTACACCATAGATTTCATGGTGGGTGTAGAAGACACAAAGGCAAAGGCTGAAAGAAACCGTGCTTGGTGGCACAGCTTTCGGTTCCCTGTAGTGACACCAGGGCTCTACCTATTGAAATTACTGCAGTTTGAGCAGTTAGCACTCTCAAAAGAACAATCCTTCTTATCCCTCAAGCTGTTACCAAGATTTTCTTCCTGCTGTTAGAAAGGCAAGGAGCTTCACTAGTGTAAAGCATGTGCCAAGCAAGAGAGAAACCAGACTTCTTAGTTTCAATCTTTGCACTCAGAATAGGACAGCTGCAGAGGCTCAGCAGTAAGATGTGGTGTGAGCAGCGGTGGCCCCAAGCCACAGGGCCTGGTGGCAGTCACACATCAACATAGAACAAAGCATGGGTGAAGAATTTTCACACTGGAAATGTGCTTCAACCTCATAATAAAGCAACAACCTTGTGTGAAACCCAAATATGGGTTTGAACGTGCTGTCCCTCCAGAGCATGGATATGTTCAGTGAGTTCCCTAATTTCACTTTGGTATCATTGTCTAGCTAACTAGAACTGGAAAGGAAAATATATCATGTTTATGTAAACACCTTGTCTGCTTCTCTGATCCTGTCTTTAGAAGAATCCCTGTTTATTCATTTATTTTTGTGGGTGAGAAGGTGTGTCCCCAAGTATCCTCATATTCTTTAGGAACACTGATTCAGTGTTCCCTCACCTGCCAGCAAACAATTTTGACTTCCACATTGCAGCTGCAACATTAATTCTTATCCTCTGGTTGTCTTTTTACCAATTTAGCCCAAAGTATGACATTCCCTTTGCATTTGTACCATGTTTCTGGTAACAAACACCATGGCCACAGCAGAGTTGTGATCCAGATCTCTGGCGACACAGATTCTCATCAGGCTGGGCAATAATCATAGCACCATGGAATGGTTTGGGTTGGAAGGCCATCTCATTACATCACCCTGCCATGTACAAGGACACCTTCCACTATCCCAGGTTGCTCAGAGCCCCATCCAGCCTGGCCAAGGACACTTCCAGGGATGGGGCAGACACAGCTTCTCTGGGCAACCTGTGCCAGTTCTTCCCACCCTCATAAGGAAGAATTTATTTCTAATATCTTATCTTAACCTACTCTCTGCTTGAAGCCATTTTCCCTTGTCCTGTCATTACACTTTTAAATGAAGAGTCCCTCTCCAGGATTATTATTATTATTATTATTATTATTATTATTATTATTATTATTATTATTATTAATAATAATAATAATAATAATAATAATAATAATAATAATAATAATAATAATAATAATAATAATAATAGGAGGAGAGCTTGCATCCATGTACGCTTCTTACACACAGCAGATGTAACATTTTCAGACCAGGAAGTTCCAATATGATCATCTAAGACTTCAGAATCCAGGCAACAATGTCAGTATCAAGGAAAGAGTTATGATTGAGTTAGATAAAAACCTTTACAGTACTCCGAAGAGGCAATGAAGACCCCCCTCAGTGCTCCCCTGAGAAGCCATGCCAACAGTTCCTGCCCCTCCTTGTTAAAAATGTGCATCTTATTTCAGACATGAGCTATTTGGGGAGCTTTATGACTAGATTTTGTTAGCTTTCATCCACACAAGTAAATGGTTCCTGTCCAGCTGTAACTATCCCCTCACATGGAGGTGCTCTCAAAGAGATCCCTACTGCACCTGCAGCAGGTGGCTTGTGGGTTTGACCAGCCCAGATCACACGCTGGCACCAGCACCTGTGGCTATTGATTATCACACCTGAAGCACCTTTTTCCTGGGCTTCCCCTGCCAGAACTCCAGCTGTCCACCAGCACCCACGCACTGAACGGTGCCACGCTCCGCACATGGCTGCGGCTCAATGGGGGGAAAGGCGCATGAGAGCGTGTGTGTGTCCATGGGATCTGCTGCTTAAATGTTTTCCTTTCCCAGGGGATATATTTGACATCAAGATAAAGGGGCAGCGTGGAAAACAAACTTACTTTCCACTCCCCCCGCTTGGAGTCTGGTATTGTAAAACAAGCTGCGCTAGCTGGGATTCCTTTTGAAACCTCCCGGTTATCTTAGCAGCTGTAATATAAACCACAGTCTCCTTGAAGTATATCCTGCCACAGATCCCTTCCTGGTGTGGGGTGGAGGGGCAATACATACCATAGTATTCACAGGGAATAATGCTTTTTTCTTTTTTTCTTTTGGAAGGTCAGGCATTTTCCGAACCTGGCTAATGCAACCCCTTATGTTTTCTTTGGGAGCTCTGCTAAACCCGCTCGTCACAGATGTGCGAAGTGTGATAGCGTCCATCCCCCTGCACCTCATTAACGGTATCTCCCTTGCCTTTTGTTTTGGTCAGGATGAACCCGAGGGGGAAGTAAAAAGGGTGATGGTTATGAAGTGTGTGGGTGAAGGGCATAATCAGAGCGGTTCTGCCTGAGTGTTGCTTGTTTTGGTGTTAGGGCTGTTTGAGGTGCCTCCTGCTGAGCCATGCTTGTCCCATGCAAGCCAGCTCACGTCTGTGTGCCGCAGAGGAAACATTCCTGTCATTCTGACACCCTGCGAGCAGCATGCCTGGAGTACAAGCACCTGTGTGGCTGGCAGTCGTAAGACTTTCAGCTGGTACCTCTTGTGGTTGCCCAAAGGGATTTTTCCTCCTTCTGCAGCCTCAGGCCTTTGGAGGCGAGGGGCCTGGACCCGTGGGGAGACTCTAGGAGGTGTCTGGGCTAGGCAGTAATGTCCACACTCGTGTTCCTTAACCCACTCAATTTCTTTTTCTCTCCTCAGTTTCCTCCTGTGCAAGTGTGAAAATGACTGGAGAGAAAAGAGGAAACTTAAGGTGCCAGGCTGGAGAAGACATGGGCTCCCTCTTCTGCAGCTGATTTGCCACTACAAGCAGTAGCCAAAACCTTCCCCCTCCTCTGGGAGCCCCGGGCTCCCTGCCAGGCTGAGCACGATGTTCCCAGCGATGCAGCGGTGGGAGCCCTGAGCCGGGTCAGTAAAGGAGGAGGAGGTCATGGAAACCTGTTTCCATTATGGTCCTTGTAAATAGCCTTCCAGATTATCTTCTTGATTATCGTGCCCTACCTGTGCTGTTTCCATCTCTGAGGAGCTGAGCGCTTTTAAACCTTGCAGCCCCACCCACGTGGCACAAAGTACCTGCAGGGGCAGAGGGCCAGCAGGAACCTGGCTCAGGGATGTCAGTGCCTCTGGAAGAGGGGTTCTCCCCCTCTCAGGCAATGCCTGACTTCCTAAGAGCACTACATGAAGGAGGGAGGGCAGAGCTGGAGACTACCCCTCAACCATGTGTGTCGTTGGATATCCTCTTGAAAATTACCTCTGTGTTATGCCATCTTTCACTATAATCTGCACCTTAAACTGTGTTCTGCATTTGAAATTCTTTTTTTCTTGGAAACAGATTTGTCACTCTTTCAGTTTGTTCAGAGAAGCAAATAAGTGAGTAATGCTTTCAAAGCTACCCAAGTAACTCAGGAACTTGTGTCCCATTGTTAGCAATTCTGATTGATTGATTTTTTTATTTTATTTTAACTTGGCCCAAAATCTAATTTCCCAAAATAATGAAGGCACTTTGGAGCCACAAAGTCTAACTGTAATTGAATTTAGTTTCAAAAGTCACCTGCATGCTTTGGAAATGCTAACCTTGATGTTCACACAAACCCAGTATGACTGCCAGCACTTGTTACACGTTGTTGCTTCCTTCGCAGAGTTCAAGGATGGGACTGAAGGGCACAACCAACACCAGATTAAAGCACCCCAGCTGAACCAAGGTAGCTGGGTAGGTGCATATGCTCTTACTGCCCAGCCAGCATGAGCTGAAAAGAGTCCTTAACTTCTGCCACTTTTTTCTGAGGTTTCACATCACCTGGTTTTCCTGACTTCTGCCGTGGGCTGAATGTGCACACAGACACCACTGAGCAGAAGACAGCCATAAGTCATCAAGTAGCAGTGAATGCCATGTGTCTGTGCTCTTCCCTCCCAGTTTGATTCTTGGGCTGGGTCCCTCTAGCGCTGTGGAACTCACCTGCAGGGATCTGCTGGGACCGCTGCTTCCAGCCTCTGCCAATACATCACACACAGGTGTGGATGCATTTCAGTAATAAAAAGCAAAAATCCTTTTGTCAGCTCCTCAAATCCAGGCTCTTCTTGATGGTGCCAACTTACTAGGACAAGAGGAATGGGCAGGAATGATGCACATGATGTTCCACCTGGACATGAGGAAGAACTTCTTAAAATTCTTCCTCCCTCAGTTAATATTTTAAAATTAGAAGTGTGAAAATTAAGTTGGAGAAGACCTGCAAGATCAGCAAGTCCAACCTTTGATCAATGCCCACGTTGTCATCCAGACCACAGCACTGAGTGCCACCTCCAGTCATTCCTTTTATACCTCCAGGGACAGTGACTCTGCCATCACCTCCACGACTCAGGATTGCACTCAGGATAACACTACTAAGGATTTATTTTACACAAAATAATCATGATTACCAATACTCTAAACACAAAATCTTTTATGGAAATGCCACTTAAGACAAAATCTTGGGAATGGTTAATGGTTTCTAAGGTCCTGGATAGAGCCCTTTGCAGCAAGACAGACCAAAGGGCAAGAGTGAGCAGAGCTGTTGTGCTGTCCTTCTCCCCTTCCAGGGAGCCATGAAATCCCACCTTTGCCTGGCAGTGCCTCTTCTCCTGAGCCACCCACTTCCCTCTCAACTTTCAGCTGAAGCATCTCCACAGATATCTGCAGACTGTGGAAGCAAGGTGACACTCTTGACGAGCACTGACTTTAAGTTTCTGCCATTAATCCCAAGCAAATCAAGAAGTGGGATGAATTAAGTACAGGGAATGATTGGTAGTTACTTTTTCTCACTTCAAAATAAAATATTTTGACTTGCATTGCATAAAGCATTCCAGGCTTGAAACAGGAGGTTCTCTCTAGTTCAAACCAAACCAAACCAAACATATCAAAAAACAATTCCCTGC